CTGAGCTAATCTTCGCATTTCCCGAAAACTAGAACAACCCACATTCTTAACTATTTGCGAATAGTAATTTCATCTAGGTCTACCTCTCATCCTCTTAACTCCTATTTCTGTTTCTAATATGTCTCTTCATGCCTGAGAAGGTGTGTTTTTTTATTGACTTCCATACAGTCCTCTGTTCTCCTATTCTTTCTAATACCTCTCCATTTCTAGCCTTCTGTATCCACGGTATCCTCATCATTCGCCTGTAACACCACATTTCGAACGCTTCTAACCTTTTTTTTCCGCCGTGCCCACCGTCCATGTTTCGCACCCGTACAGCGCCGGATTCCAAATACACCTTTAACAATCTTTTTCAAATTTTATTTAAATCTGTCTCTAACTCCTCCTTGCTAGAAGCACACTAATCTTTTGCCCCTTTATATCTATTCCTACAGTTGTATTGTCTTACTGATGTCTTGTCTGACTGCCTTCCTAATATTTACTTCTCTACGTTGCATACCTAGCTCTATAACTGCTAGTTGCTCTTTATACAAACTAAGAATCACTCTTCTGTCTTCGTAACTCATCCCTGTATTTTTGAGTATATTTAACATCTTGTCCCATTCAACATTATCAAAAGCTTTTTCTAAATCTACAAATCCTATGCACGCGCTCATTCCCTTTTCTATCGTTTTCTCTATTGTTACCCGTAAAGCTAAATTGGTCTCCCGCGTTCCTCTATTTCTTCTAAACTCAAATTGATCTTCCCCTAATAGTTTGTCTGCTCTTTTTTCCATCCTCCTCTGTACAAATCTAGTTAAAATTTTTGACGCACGGGAAGTTAAACTAATTGTTCTAAATGACTCGTAACTATTCAAACCTCTCCTTTTAGGTATGGTAACTACTACGTTCCGTTTATAATCCTCTGGGACTTTCCCCGTCTCGTAAATGTGACTAACTAGCGTAAACATACGATCTCTAACCTCTTGTCTTCCATGTTTTAAAATTTCCGCCTTTATCCCCTCTATACCTGGTGCCTTATTATTCTTTTAGGTTTTTAATGCTACACCGAACTCTTCTGTCATTACGGGATTTGATGTTAACATTTTTTTTAAAGATTTCAAAATCAACCATCCGATCTGAAGGTGCGGGTTGGCGAATGGGATACCCAAACGACGAGAGAGCGACTCCCTTATCAAGAGAGGGACGTGGTGCAAATTGTGGTGCATGAAGGTTTCAGAGCGAACAATTTATTTAATGACGTAGCACTTCTCGTATTAGCATCTCCCGTCGATAAATACGATCACATCGGGACGATATGCCTTCCTTCACAAAATTTACAATTCACATCGAGAGACTGTTTCGCAACTGGATGGGGAAAGGACGTTTTCGGTAAGTAGGTGGAACAGTTACCCGGACGTGTTAAGGATAAAACAATTCCCAACTTTATAGCTTAAAGGGTTTATATTGTAGAATCTTTTGTAGAGGGTTATCAAAAGGGCAGATAATTATTTTATATAAGTTGG